TAGCAAACTTGAATATATATATATATACATATGAAAAAAAAGGAAAGGAAGAATTCGTATTTCCTTGTAAAATAACGATTTCTTTCTTTCTTTCTTTTTCTATTCTTTTTACATTCTCTTCTTTTTTGTAAGGTTTAATATATTAAACATTTTTCTATGGATCTATGTATATATGTATATTTCGTAAAAAAATAAAAAATAAAATAAGACAACGGTAATGATACTGATTCGATAAAGAAGTGCTTGTGTGCTTGTGTGTCTGTGTGTCTGTGTAAATAAATATAAATATATCTCAGTGAAAAGTTTACATATCTCTCAATAAGGGTTTCGGTCCTTTGTTACGCAAAATTAAGGATTCCCATAAGCGTAGGATCTCTTCCATTTTGGGTCATTGTTTTTGTTTCCCTGAAGACTAATCAACAGTTGACATTATATGATAGAAGACAAGACCTGTTTTGAGTGGTTGATTCTTATACATCTCTTTCTACTACATTTTATTATTACTATTCTTGTTCTTGTTCTTGTTCTTCTTGTTCTTCTTGTTTTTATACATGCCACCAGAGGTTATGACAGATAATTCAACAACTTTTGCATTCACTGATCATTTCTGGGTAAGGATACACACTACCTTTTTTTTCAGTTGTTAATGATAATCTTTTAGTCTCACGACAAGCAAGGCGTGAACAGTCTGTTTGACTATATGCATTCTTCCTTTGATACACTTTCACACATACACACTCTATATAATGAAAGGTATGAGAAAAAAGAAATAGTAATGATATAATGTCTTTATTTGAGGTCAATCAAGTATTGGATCAGATACTATAATTGTTTTTTGCTTACACACCCATATTTACTTTTATATATACATCATCATTACCATAATTATCATTAGAGCACAAATGGAACTTGAGTTTGGTCAAAAAGTCATGGCTCTTTCCGAGTCCGTGAGTGCACCACTGAAACACTCTGATCCAAAAACAAATGTTGCGGGTGCACTTGAGGCTGTCTACAAGGAGCTTGTAAAGACAGCACAGTCTCACATTGACATGGCCCAAAGACTGACGAATGAGGTAGCACCAGCATTGGATGGCTGGGTTCACACGCATCGTTTGAATCTAGAAAAGGTAAGAAACAAAAACAGAATAGATAGAAGGAAAATATAGATATGTGTAAATCAAGTACTTATAGCAACTACAAACAATGATCTTTCTTTAGTGGTCATCTATTTTGGAGAATAAGTACGAGGAAAGGCAATCGTGGATTTGTCATTTATTAGAGGTATTTTCAAAAAGCAAAAAAAAAAGTCGGCTTGGAAGATGTTGGTAGATAAATACAACAGGAATAAACTCAAGCCTTTTAATAATATGTGTCTTTTTCTTATTATCATTATTGTTATTAAAATTATAATGGCAATAAGGCAAGAGAGGCATATCATGCAGCAAACCGGTCATCACAAGGAAGAAGTTCGTCTGAACTACAAAAGCTAGGTAACTATATATTAAGTATACCAAGTAGTATGATTTGTAAAGTAGATTATATTAAATCTAGAGAAAACTCATGTTATATATTATGTATATTTGTGTGAATAACAAAACAAATAATTCTTTTGTTATAAAAATCACAATAGAACAGAAATACAGAACCGTTTTGACTCGAGTTGACAGCCTATCAAAAGATTGGAACAATACTTGGCTTGAAGCTTGCAAGGTTAGTCAAACAAGATTATAATGAATGTCTTTTGGTGTGTTGTTTCTATGTATTAAAAAAACAAGCTTAAATATATCTGTATTAGGAGCTGGAAGGGATTGAGCAAGATCGTGTAGATTTTTTTGGTAGCAATGTATGGGACTATGCCAACTTGGCATCTGCTCGGCTATTAGTTCAAGACGAGGTATTGCACACACATACATACATACATACATATATATGCATATGGAAATATTTATATTTATTTTTATTTATTTTTAAAAAAAAAGTGGTGTGAGGCTATTAGAAAACAGCTTGAGAAATGTAATATGGAAGAGGAATTGAGTGCATGCGTCAAGCAGCACGGAACTGGGTCCGTTATTCCATGTAAGTTGGTAAGAGAGGGAGAAAGAATGCATGTGCATGTATGTATGTTGTGCTGACAAGTTAACAAACATATGGGATATACAGCAACTACAGATTATGTAAACTATTACATGAAAAACCACCCTCCTACTCCTATTGTGGAGCCTAAAAAGCCCCCCAGAGGAAAACAGCTGCCACCAATGCCGCTTGATAAAGACGTCAACAAAGATGCACCTCACCTAAAAGATGAATCTCAGCCCAAAGAAGCGTCTCAAGCAAGAGATATGTCGAGTTTTAGAGAAGCGCCGAAGCCAAGAGCATCAGTATCTGTATCAGATGCCGGGAGTACGACCCGCCGTATGCAAGTCAAACGCAAGCCTCTGGATTCCACACTAGTTGCTGCACATGGTAACCCTGTAGCCCGAAAACAGCAGAACACCGTCGGACGTCATTCTACAGTATCCCCAGGAACGGGCGGCCTAGAAGACCTATTGAAACAACTAGAGATCAAGTCTATTGACACCCAGTCTAAGCCAAGGTCGACGTATGGGTTGTCATCGAGTTCAAGACCAAATCTATCTTTGGATACTCTCTGGAATGATGTTTCCAGTTCTACCGAACGCTCCATGGCGCCAAAATCCCCTCGTCCAAAGTCTATGTGTTTGACTGATGACAGTCCTATGGTGGGGCCTGCTGCTGCTCAACATCAACATCAACATCAACCACCATCACCATCACAACCACCGCAACCGCCACAATCACAACCACCAGCATTGCCTCTCGATAGCCACAGACCCCCACCTCCCGTTTCTTCAGGACCACCTTTATTACAGGGAAGACCTCCTCACGTACCACCAGTATCAGCATCCACATCCACATCAACATCAACATCGTCATCAGTATCAGCATCAGCATCAGCATCAGCATCAGTATCAAATATCAATCATGGTCATCCTCCACCTTTATCACAGACACATTCTCCTAGGATGCCACCTCCATCACCGATGATGCCACCGCGTTCACCGTTGGTACAACAGGCGCGCCAACATAATAAATCAGGCTCAGATTCACAGGGAAGATCATCTTCACCTTTATCTTTTCTGCAGGTAACCATATATACAATATAGAATATAGAATATGTAATAAAAAAAAGAAAATTAAAAATAGAATATAAAAAAATTAAGAATAAGAGTTGTGAGGTTCTAGAATACAAAGAATTTCAAATGAATAGATAATGTAATATAGAAAACAAAATGCAAAAACAAAGTTTTTGAGGAGAAAAGGGAGTCTAATCCTAATGGGTTTTAGATGGATCTCCATGGACCCTTTGGCGCTAATTCCACGAGCAATGAATCACATGGAGTACAGGCGTCGTTTGAACAACTCGGACCACAACAGCAGCACCATATGTCATTGTTGAATATGCGACGGCAGCAATTGATAGAATCAGCTCAGGGCGGATTGCTAGACCAAGACCAATTGAATCATCAACTGCAGCAAATAAATCAATTTCAAGATACTATTCTACAGCAGAAAGAAGAGCTACCGTCACAACAACAGCAACAGTATCAGCAACAACAACAACATCAGTATCAGCAACAGTATCAGCAGCAGCAGCAGTATCAACAACAGCAACAGCAGTATCAACAACAGCAACAGCAGTATCAGCAACAGCAACAGCAACAGCAACAGCAACAGCAACAGCAACAGCAACAGCAACAGCAACAGCAACAGCAACAGCAACAGCAACAGCAACAGCAACAGCAACAACAACAACAGCACCCACAAAGGTCTCCTTCTCCAATGATGCCTCCTAGATCCCCAATGATACAGAATAATTATCAGCCTCAAATGATGCCTCCTAGATCTCCAATGATACAGAATAGCTACCAGCCTCCAATGGTACCTTCTCCGTCTCCTGTACAACACCTGCAGAGACAACCGAGTACTCAGCAGCAGCAGCAGCAACAGCAACATATGTCTTCTTCTATAATGCAACCATCTCCAATGATGGCACCTGGGGGATTGCCTGCTCTTGGGCGCCAACCTTCTCCCCAGCCGATCAATACAAATCACCGCGGGTCTATTTCCGGTAGATCGCCACTTCCATCTCCAGCGACTATCCCAACACCTTGGCAATCTAACTACCGTCAAACTTCTAGCCCAGCGCACGGAGTGAGTCAGGGATCGGCCCTGCCTTACGTCATAGATGGCCGGCCAGTTCTCCGATGGGGTAAGCTTTTTTTTAAAAAAAAAAGAAAAAAAAAGGTGTAGACTGAACTAGATTATCATCATAATATAATTTATTTATGTAGTGCGTGGACTGTATGACTATGCAGCCAAGGTTGAAGGAGAGTTGAGTTTTCGACAGGGAAGCTACTTGGCCATTATGGGACCTTCCAGTTTTGATAAATGGTGGATGGCTGAATTGTGGGACGAATTGAGACAAGATCGAATAGGCTCTGGGGTTGTACCTGGAAACTATATTGTGGATGTGTAATATTCAATATAACACAATATATTAGATTTTTTCCTTTTTTCTTCTTTTTTTTAAGAATCGCAGAATCGATTATAATTTATATATAAAAAATAAATTGAAACAATGAAAATACACAAGAATTATATATATATATATAAAATCTGTAATGCAATATATTTCAAATATTAATGTACACAAATCATTTACAATTTCAATATTTTTATTATTTTGTACAGCCAAGAAATATATATATATAAATAAAAAGTTTAAAATAAAATAAAAAAAACAACAAATGTATAAAGAGAGTATTGTGTTCTTGTGTTGCCATGGCAAATAATAATAATAATAAAAAAAAAAGAAAAGATACAGCTGGCCCATACGTCATAAAATAATAGCCTGTTTGGGTCAAAGTGGTACAACGGGGTATAAAAGAATCAATGGTGGTTGGAATGAATATCTAAAGATCTAGTCATAGAGTAAATGATAAGAAAAAGAATAAGAAAAAGGTTGAATATTTACATATACATAATATACATAATACAGATGAGAACTACTATTGTACTATTCCATTCTCTCTTGTTGTTGCTGCTGTTGGAAATAGAATGAATGCATAAATGAACGAATGAATAATTGAATAATTGAATGAATGAATGAATAAATAAATAAATGAATAAATGAATGAATTAATGAATGCATGACCGAATGAATTAATGAAAGGCTTAAAGAAGAAGAAAAGGAAGAAGTATGTGGGCATATATAAATATATATATAATGAAATGTTATAAGGCGTGCATTCGTTCATTCGTTCGTTCATTCGTTCGTTCGTTCATTCATTCGTGTGTGCGTGTGTGCGTGTGTGCGTGTGTGCGTGTGCTTTCATTTAAGAAAAAAAAGAAAGAAATATGGCTACAAGATGTTCTTTTTCTCTTGGATTCTTGGTTTGTTTGGGTGTTTTCTCGCCTCGTTAGTTGTGTATCTTTTTTTTTCTTGGTTTTGGATTTAGCGTGTTGGTTTGATAATGATAATGATGATCGTTATGGTAATGGTGATGGTAATGGTAATAGTAATGATAGTGTCAATGACATTATGATAGTTTGTGCGTGTATGTGTTATTTGTATTGGTCTTTCGTTTTTTTGGTATTGTTCGTTGATGTGGTTCGGTTGAGATTCTTTAGCTATTTGCGTGTCGACACCAGAATTCATGACTATAAAGATATATATATAAAATTAGAGATCCAATCGATTTAATATGTTGAAACCATTTTGATTTGATCAGTCGATCAGTCAATCGACAATCTTTGCTATATATTTATCCCCTTTTTATTTTTATTCTTGATTATTTAAGCAAAAAAATATATACACAAATGAAATAGTTTTGTACCTGAATCGTGAAATGTCAACGCCACAACATGTACAGAAACCAGAGGTTATGCGACACATAAATGTCTGTGGTTTAGGTGTGTGAGAGCACTGATGTGGTGTAGTGGTCTTTTGACTTGGCATGTTGAATGTAATGAAAATGAGTTAAGAAAAGAAGGGAAGAAAGAAGAAGTTGGGTATTTGTAAATTATCGTGTTTTGCACACACACACACAAAAAAAAAACTCAAACAAAGAGAACAATCCCAATATATAAAGGAATTGTTGTCAGAAGGGAGAGAGAGAGAGATCGCCTTCCATATATGGCAAAACAATTTATGATATTCATTAATAAGATTACCCTTTGGTAACTACGTCATGGTAACTATGGTTATGTACTTGTAGTTAGAGTTTAATCTAATTATATAATTATATACAATATATATACACATGTACGTTTGTGTGTGCGCATTCACAATAATAATATATAATAGTATATACATACATAATACATATACAGGTACATGTACATACACATTTACATTTACATACACATTTATAGACTCATATAAAAATAGGGACCATCGTTCTCACACCTCTTCCAAAAGAAGAACAATTATGAAAGAGAAATATATTTATATGTAAAGAAGAGAAACAAAAAGCAAGCTAGCCTACTATTGTCATTGTGACGTTCTAGAACTCTCTCCAAACATTTCTTTCAACATGGCAGCATTTTTCTGTTGGCGTTGACGATCGATCTCTTCAGGTCCTCCTGTGCGTTTAAGCTTCTTGCTGTCCACAAACGTCACCAACTCTTCCTCAAAGGCATCTATTCGGTTGGCCAGCTCACGTGCCCGGAATTTCTCGGCCTGCTCCAATGCCTTGACGCGCCTAGACGAATCCACCTGGACCGATGCCACCTGCTCAAGTACACTCGACATGACCTTTGTTGTATCAGTAGTCCTGAGAGGAACATGGAGTGGCGGTGCCTGGGTGAGCGAGTGTTTCCGCTGTATCTCGGTCACTTTCTGGAGCTGCTCAAGCACCTGGACCACCGCACCATGATCCTCCTCCATATCCATCAACACACTTTCCTGCTCCTTCAGAAACCCTTGCTCTTTCACAATCGTCCGCAACTCTTCCTCCCATGTCTTCTTCCACATCGGCTTAAAGGTCTGCAACTGTTGGGCCAGCTCCCGACGCCGCTCGCCTATCAATCGAACCTCGTTCTTACAATAATCCAGCTGGGCTGCCGATGGGCGGCACTTGCGCTGGGTCACATCCAGCTTGAGTTCGTCAATAGTATCCTGGAGCTCTTCTAGGCGCCGACCAAGCTCGACCGCCGCCTCCTCTGATCGCTGCCTGGTCTGGTCAATAAGCGTTCGAGGGGGCCGGAATAGCAGAGTCTGGCTGGTCTTGAGCTTCTCGGCCGCCCTTTGTAGGTCTCCAAGTACTTTAGAGGCCTCGTGCTTGTATTCCCTGAATACTTGACGTAGGACAGCCAAATCACGCTTCAGTCTTTGGATTTCTTCTTGTTGATCTTTGATCCGATTCACAGCACCAGTTGTAGAAACCATCGGTTCTGGATCGACGCTCTTGGTATTTTCTATCTGGTGCGGACCCCGATTTACCCTCAGCTCGGTTAAGATTGCTCTTTCCATTGATTGGATGGCTTGGGTCAAGCACTGTGAAATCGTTTTATCGCTATTTGGCTCTATACCATCATCATTATCATAACAAGAAATAAAGAAATAAAGTATCAATAACAATTAGCATCATCGATTGTAACCTTAGTAGGTAATTATATACATAAATTGATGTATATATATGGATTTGTGCCTACACAAATATACATAGGTAATATAATATTTTTTGTTTACCTTGACTTTGGTTTTGGCTCTGACCCTGACCCTGACCTTGACCTTGAGCTTGAGCTTGAGTCTGAGCCAAAGACATCGATAGATACGAATTTGGCTTCACGTCTTCAAGGTCTTCAAGTTCATACATAATTAATGTGGCTGGATCTCTGATCTTTAACATCGAGACCGTATCGATTGAATTGAATGTTTCGAGGAATAGCACTCTTAGCCCCTCAAAGCTGACAACTCCCTCAAAATTTACTTTCTTGACATGATCACCAAGACCAAGAAACAGACTCATCTTGACCATATCCTGAGGCCGCTTGGGTTCTGTCTCCCGCTGGACGGATCTTCGAACGGATGATCGACGTGCCAAGTTGGACTGTTGTTTGAGTGCAACCAAGGCATCCCACCGATCCTCACCATTGTTGTGATTATTATTATTATTATTATTATTATTATTATTAAAATGATTATTATGTGTGGTAGAGTTGATGCTAGGGTTAACATTAGCAGTAGTATTTGTGTTTGTGTCTGGATTTGGATTTGGATTTATATTCGTGTTTGTGCTTGTGTTTTGATTTTGATTTTGATGTGTAGAAGTAAAGGTTTTTACTTGCTCAGAAGAGTTTGTGGGCGTAGGTAAAGGTCGTACAGATGGCTGTGGTGAAAGAGGTGCTCTAGTCTGGCGATCAGCTGAACGGGGCATGATCGCTTCTGTCTCGGTCCGCTCTCTCAAACAAGCTTGTTTGCGTTTCAGACCTTTTAAGAGCTGAAGGATGATGTCGCGAATAGCTGGTAAATGAGCATCTAGTGCGGTCGGTTGTTGTGAAAGCGCTTCTCGAAGAGATTCTAATAATTGTGCTGGAACCGATGCAAGGTCTCTAAAGACATATCATTTTGTATATATATATATATATTGAGGGTGAGAAATAAATCCTTTTTTCTTGGTTTATTTTAATATATATACACAATATATATAGATAGATAGATAGACAAAGAGAGATAGATAGAAGGACAAGATGACCACATACGTCATTGACATTGCAGCTGCCTCGAACGCTTGAGAGGCTTGGTTAAAGTCGAGTGAGAGTAGGTCATAGGCTTCCAAGACACTGCCAGAGGTCGTGGTACCAACCGACCAGTCCGTCAAACTCATCAGAAGCTGTTTTGTGGACTTCAAAAGACTGGTGACAGTTTGTTCGATGGCAGACATCTGTCTTGGTGACGAGTTACCCGTATTTTCCGGGTCAGGGCATGTTGCAGAAGTAGGGCTTGAAGAATTGGATGAGGGAGCGGCTAGAGAAGGTTCGGTGAGAGACATAAAAAGAGATGTAGAAAATTCATATTGGTAAATTTGGATATTTGATTATAATTATTATAATTATTATTTTTATAACCCCTCTCTTTTATATATTTATATTTATATATTGATTTGATTTGATTTGATTTTTTTTGTTGAGAATGTAAAGTACATGTAATAAAATTATAGAGGGATCGACCACAGGCAGTCCAGATATATAGATGGTCTTAGTCTCATCTATTAGATTATTATTCTGACCTTTCCTCTCTTTCTTAATTGTTCATTTATATATCTAAAGAAGATCAATCTGCTTCATGCTCTTTAGTTTTATCATTTATTTAATAAATGAGGATATATCCCCCTTGATTCTCATATTTCATTTATAATGATTAACAATTTATGATTGTAAGAGAAACACTCTTTTCAAGTGTGATTTGGCAGCTCTCATAAGGAGCTATAATAATCATGATAGAAATAAAGCAAGGGGGGTTCAAATACCGTAAAATAAAATAAAATAAAAAAAGGATGATGAGAATGATAGTCGCTTTGATGATTGACCCCAAAACCATAACAGATATAATATGGGTCTTTGTCTAATTCAATCTTACCTTGACCATCCCTATTCTTTGAGCACCGATACGTGGCCCTTTATTTGAATTCCAGAGTTAGTGATGGTTTGGTATATATTGTATAGATTACTTACAGACCAGCCACACGCAGGGAGTATGGACCATTTGAGAGAGATGCAGGGAGAGTCCAACGGACAAGATGATCTACGCCATGTTCCCCGGATGATTCTGATCCTGGGATATCCAATACAATTGGTGGATCGTCGGAAACGAGTGTTGCATTGGCTCTACCTATATTTGCCATACCACTTCCCCTCACTTTATTGGTGTTTATATATTGATTGATTGATTGATTGATTGATTTATAGATCCATTATTTATTTTTGTGTGCATATTTTGTATATTTATGTATTTATGTATTTATGTATTTATGTAGCATATCTGTGAGTTTCTCGAAGAATCTTTTTCATTCCCAAACTTTGGATCTTTTTTAAACTTGCCATGATAGATGATAGGAAGAGTCGAGCCAATGCAGTAAACATCGTCTTCCTGTGGTGATGTAATATAAATATCGTCAGCAAATACAAAAGTACACAACAGTAGCCAGACTAGAATGCGCATCTTAGTAATGAAGAAAGAAAAGGAAAGAAAGAGTAAAGGAAAGAAAGAAAACAAAAATATATATATAGAGAAATATAGAAATATATGCCGAGGTTTAATTCCTATATAATGACGCTCTTTATATATATATATATTAAGAAAGGGAGAAAGAGAGCAAAGAAGGATGAGTAGTAGTAGTAGTAGTAGTAGTAGGAGGAGGAGGAGGAGGGGGTAGTGAATATTAAACAGAGACTTCTTTTATATATATATATATATATACATACATAGAGGATAAAGAAGCACAAAGTATATAAGCACGAATGGCTGATTGTTTGAATGAGAAAAAGAAAAAGAATTATATTATATTTGTATGAATAAATGAATGTGATTGTGATTGTAGGTGTAGGTGTAGGTGTAGGTGGTGTATGTTTGTGTGTTAAATAAAGAAGATTATCAACCCTTGGCTCCAAATCTACCAGATGAAAAAGAAGAAGAGTTTATATAATGTATAGCAGCTATATACTATACTCGTTCAAGCTCAATACAAGACAGATGTGCTCAGTATTGTGTTTAAGACTACTTGTGCCATCGTATGCTGCCTGGCTATCATCTTGGATGAAGGTGTGGCTATAAATAGTCGTGTCTAGATAACCTTCCTCGTCTGGAATCTGCCTGCTCTTGTCCTTTGACTGATATTCGAATATCTTGTGCTGTCCCAAGACGATCATAAAATGACCTCCTTTCAGACAGTTCTGTATCTGGATACAGGTTAGCGAATCTGGATAGACATTGGTCGAGGTCGTTATTGAGCTCCAGTGTTTGCGCCGGCTATCAAACACATCGATTGTCCTGAGCGAGTGAACGTGGAGCTCGTTTGTATCGTTGACATCTTGACGGATAGTCTGACCACCCATCACGAGTAATGATCTTCCAACCGCGCACATGGTACATTGGAACCGGTCCCTAGGGGGTGTGCCTGTGGTTTCGACAACGAATCCCTCCTGCAGAGATTGGGATATCTCGGCAATATTGGGAACATTCAGTCGATGTCGATAGAGATAGGCCTCGGGGTGGTCGTATTTGTACCACGTCCAGGTCGAACAATCGAGGCGATATAGCAGGTCGTGGACTGTGTTTCCTTGGGTCTGGATCAAACACCCGCCATAGACATACAAATAGCAGCCCACCATCACAGACGCATGTCCGAACCGAGCCGAAGGAAGCCGACTAATACGAACTGCTCGTGAGTCCAAGAGGTTGTCTTCTGGATGTATTTGTGTATTTGTGTGTTTGTATGTTTGTATGTACTAAATTGTTTGTGAGCTTTTTAATGATAATTGAGTGCTTACCCATCCACTGGTGGCTCTTGCCATGTATTTGTCAAGGTATCAAATACAAAGACGTCACTTTCACCTATCATTAAACATTAAACATTAAATGTATAAATAAAATAAAAATAATAAAAATGAGAGGTGTTTGAATTTTGAATTTTGTATGTGTGTCGATGTGCATGATTATAATTACCTGGAGAATCTGCGCACATTCCGCCAAATACAATCAAATATCTATCTTCAAGTACGTCCAGACTATGGTCAAAGCGTGGTCTTGGAGGAATTCCGTTTACGTCAAGGTGGGTCACAATCCGAGTGTTTATATCAAGTACCCAGAGAGAGTTGGAGAGGGCAGAGGACGAGACTTCTCGGCCGCCAAACATGTAGACCTTTGATCCAATGGCTGCCACTGGTGTCACAAATGGTCTATAGAGAGTTGACCGAATTTCTAGACTGATCGGGTTCTCCCAGCAGCACAGTGAGACGTCAAATACGAAGCAGACCGGTTCTTTGGTCATCCATGGAAGGTAAAGCTTGTTGTCGATTCCGACCAGGCAACGGTTGTGGAACATGGGTGGACCATTGGGTACTGGATTGCAGTCGATCTCTCGCCAGATGGCAGACGTGAATGACAATTCCCGACTGACTAATGCATAAAAATGACGACATGTCTGACCAAGGACAACAAGAGAGAAATTGTCGAGATACTTGAAGATTATGGAATAAATGTCTTGGTTAAGCCGAGATAATAAAAGAGATTTCTCAGAATACATTGGTGCATACAAATAATTGGAAGAAGTATATATATATATATATATATATATATTTTAAAATAGGAAACAAAAAAGAAAGAGAAAGAAAGATGATAGAACAAAAGAAGTAATTATATAAGAAGCAGATAAAGAAGAGGGAAAAGACCAATAAATTGGTTATGAAATATGTCAAACGAAATAAGAAATCCAAGTATTGTATGTGCCTGTGTTCCTGGGTGTACTTTGGTGTTTATATACATACATATACATATACATACATACATATATATATTTGTACACTTTAATGCCAAACCCAAACCCCTCCTAATCTCCTGCCAAATGCGGACATATCAATACTCTTTTATATATAAAAAAAAAAGGGAAGGAAGCAAGGAAGGAAGGACCGAGAGCGTAAAGAGAATATATTGTATTGAATTAGAAGTAAAAAAAAAAGTTTGTTATAATAAACTATGAAATTGACTTTTATTTCCCCAGTAGTCGGTTTCATACCCTAAACCCACGGCTTTCTCGTACATTCTTTTTTTTTGTTTTGTTCTCTATGAGTTCTCTATGAGTTCTATAAGCTTCTACATCATTCTATATAGATCCATAGCCATCTCCGCCAGTAGTTATGGTGTTACCTCAAGTTTGGATATATTGGCGGGTTTGGATCTTATAATAAGCATATACAGTGATATATAGATTCTTCCTTCCTTCCTTCCTTACTAACTAGCATCTCAGGGACTTCTTTGTAGACGTCTTTGGCTGATTACAAAGTAGTGTACTTTGTTATCCAAGTACATTAGCAGTACAATATCTCGTAACTATGCTTAATCTAGCATATCTCATCTATTGGATCAACTTGAACAAACTTGACTAAATTTAGCTTAACCTGGCTTATCACAAGTCTTGGTTTGCATCTTTGTGATTGTTCATAAGAGAAAAATATAGAGAGTATGAGATCATTATAGAAGCCTAATAGAATAATAGTAAAGAAAAAACAACAACAAAATTAGGCTTTGTAATACATCAAAAATAAATAGTACAAATTTAGTCTTTATAGAAGAAGAAGGAAGAAAAAAGAATACAAATTTAAATCTAAATCTAAATCGAGATTGCTTTCTCTTTTTTTTTTGGGTAACACAGTATATATTTTATTTATATTACTGTTAAATTAAAGAAGAAATATAGAAGTCTACAGAAGAGAATAGAACATTACCGTATTCATACGCTTTACATGTATACATTTCTGTTCTATTCTCTTTGTATATTGATTTCTCTTGGACCAACCATTGTCCTTACCCTTGATATTACAGTGTACCAATATGTTCCTATCTGTGCCTACTTTGATATTCTTTGCTATATGTACCACATATATAAATCTTTTATACGAATAAGAAAATATACTTAAATACGCACAGTTTGAATAGGTTTCGTTTTGGAATTAAAAGCCTTTTGATGTGATGTCTATTCCCGAAATAATAAATAGAAAAATTACCTGGAATTGAAATTGAAATCAAAGAAAAAGAAGAAGAAATTAAGTAAAGGTGAAAGAGAAAGGAAGAAGAGAAAGAACGAGAGGAAAATGATGAGAATTATTATTGACTTAAATAAATAAAAGAAAATAAAAATCGGTCGATTCTATAGAGGTTTTATATACACGGAAGTTAAATACCAGAGTGGTGGTCTGATCGTGCACTTGTATGAATTAAACCGATGGGTTGAAATGGCTAGACTGATTTGGGCTAGGATCAATCATCATCAGTCAACTACGATATGTTTTAATATAATTAATATAATAATTATATTGTGCTTCCAATCTCAATCTACCAGATGCTTGAAATCATCTTTTCTTTTCTTTGCTTTTCTTTACTTTGCTAAACTTCTTCATATTCTGATCAGCTTTCTTATTGAGCCCTTACTTTTATTTTCCTGTCAAGTAAAACTTCTAAACAAAACAATCTACCCCCTCATAATAAATCCTCAAGTAGTGTTCTTTATCATAACGTAGTTCATCATTTTCTCCTGTATCACGTCAAGGCCTACAACATGCTCAAACGAGGCTGTTATCAGCGTCTGTATACACAATCAAAGAGCACAAGGAAGAGACATATAATAAACATAGATTATATATATATATATATATATATTTAATATACACCTACAACTAAAATCGCCCTTATCAATGAAAGGATGCGTTGATTAAGACACCTTGTATTGTTTGAGGGCTTTTCACTATCCACCCTTTTTTTTCACTAGTAATGTTGGGTACCAGTATTATATACACTTCTTATTGGATCCAAGAACTCTGTTTCGCGTTTTATAAACTGCTCTAGAAACTTTCTTGGCTATTTAATATAGTGGTCTGGCACTAATTTTTGGAGAACAATGTTTCCTGGTGGGAGACGACATTTTGATTCTACCTGATCACACATTATCACTTTTCTTTTTGTCGCCATATGATATATATATGATCCCAAAGGATACACGATATTCGTAAAGATCTTCTTTGTGCTTTTTTTTTTTTTTAAAAAAAAAGAGTGGGTGAGCATTACTTCCAAGTTGGTGCTTTCAAACTCTGGTAATATAAGTAGGCGAACAAAAGACAAAGGTATCATACGCATAAGAAGTACAATACATGGTAAAATATCCAACAAGGTTGCGTCACAATCTAATGACAGCAACTTCTTATAATCTCCTTCATAACTGGCTATTCATATAATATACTTTTTTAGGACACGCCATTTTGCCCTGAAGGATTAGAGAAAAACACCGGACCCCCGGACAGGTAAGGTGGTCACAATGAATTAGTCCGGCAACATAAAAACATCGTGTCCCCAACAGAAAATGTCGTCCCCGTAAGATTACTGATCTGTGCTAGGTTGTTTAGATAATTGGTGCAAGATATATATATATATATATAAATTATTTAATTTATAGAGGTACGAGCGCAGCGTGTAGAGGCACATCTTTACTCCTACCAAAATAGAGAAAAAGAAGGCCATAGACTTTGATCTCAGTGCAATATGTTTCAGTGTAATATGTCGCAAAAACATATATAATATATTTTCCTTGTTAAACAAATCAGTCGTTTACTCATACGTACTCTAAATTTATAACGAAAACAAATAAATTCGTGGAAATATACTCTGACTATCATGTAACCCAATGTACCTAATAGAGGCGAGTCTTATATTAACGGTAAGTAAAGTAGCGAATAAGTAATCAGAAGGCTACTTGTTGTTAAGCATAAATCAAAGATCAAATCAAATCACATAGGAGGGGTGGATAACACAAATAGATATTCATACATTTCTAAAACGCAAATATATATACATATACATGATAAAATCAAAATATACAGCATACTTGACTTTGTGTAGGGGTTTGAATAGCACATCATTAATGCCAAGTCAAGCAGGTTCAAACAGATTAGTCATCCTAATGTCAATCGGTAGATGAGGTTCTCAAGCTACATTCCAAAAAAAAACAAAAGCGATTAAACACGTGCAGACAGCAGTATAAATGATACATTATGCATTATATACTATAGTCCAAGTACTACTCGAAGCGATAAACGAGCATAAAGAAATAGACAAATCTCCCGCAGCAATTGATACATAGACCAATTAAATCCTTAATATATTGATATACATATATGAATATCATTAAAGAACAATAGTAATAGTTATAAAAGTAGTTTTTCTTTGACAGAGTATAATACTACAAAAGGTGGCTTGTAGTAACATCCTTCCTACAAGCACCAAAATGGAAAATGAAGGAGAATAATATATATATATATATATATATATATATGTTAGTGGAAAAGTCCCGGTCTTGCTTTCTGCCTGTCACTTTTTTTTTGCTTTGTTATTTTATTTTATTTTATTTTTGTATTATTTATCAATTTTTTGTTATCTATTTTGACTTCAACAATGGTAGAAGAATCTCATCAAGACAATGTCAAGGACAAACCACCAAAGCATTCAGTCGAATACGATCCCGTGACAGGAAAGGCTATTCCGATGATTAATGGAAAGCCATGTCGAGTATGCAATGACTTCAAGACATGGACCAAGGCTGAAAAGAAGAATACCAAAACAAGCACTGCCAAGAGTGTGAACACAGACCCTGGACCTAAAGAGGATGAGGAAACTTGGCGGCGTAACAACTGTCCGGCTGATGTAGCAACCCTTGGAAGGTCAACTTGGACACTCCTGCATACAATGGCAGCCTATTATCCCGAAAAACCTGCAGAGGAAGAGAAGAAAAGTATGACAAGATTTATGGAATCTTTTGCTCAGCATTATCCATGCTGGTTTTGTAAAGTAAGCTCAATAATCAAGTTATTTTTTTTTCTTTGTGCGTGTTTGTGTGTGTTTGTGTATATACATATATATATATATATTATTTATAAATAAGGGGTAGACATAATAATAGAAGAAGGAAAAAGATAAATAGAGTGCAAGAGATCCTTATTTGTTTATTATTTGAATCTTTGGTGCTGTGTAGGACGACTTCCAGAAGCACATGGCTGCTGAGCCTGTACAAGTTGTAAGCCGTGATGCATTAAGCCAATGGTTGTGCCGTAGACACAACGAAGTCAACGTAAAGCTTAACAAACCTGTATTTGATTGTACTAAAGTACTTGAGAGATGGCTTACTGGACCTCCTAATGGAAAATGCGATTAGAATGCTATAGATTATATAGATTATATGTATATATGAATGTACAGTGAAAACACTGCCAAATAGTGGCATTTAAATTTAAGGGCGGAAATCCAAATTACAATAGACGGCCTTTTTTTTTTTTTTGGTTTTATGTACATATATCATTCGACAGGCTTTACATAGTTAAAGGGTAGTGTACTATTAATATTATAAAAAGAAAAGTCATTTAAAATGTCTACTTGTAATATATCTATCTATCAGTAGCTAAAAGAGAATAAGTATCAACAAGACAAATTACTGGCAAAATTTTATTTTATGCTGTTTTAACAAAGAAAAAGAAAATAAAGGAATGAAAGATGGAGGTATGCGCACCACAATCGAGTGAAGCACAAACTCTACAACCAAATTCTGGTTCCTACTTGCTAATAACCCCTGCTGTGTTAACAATCTTAAAACTCTCTTATACCATCTACTCGTACACTACATGTCTGTATAGTATAAACTACTAATTAAACAACAGGTAATTGAATCTTATGGTCAATTCAATAGTAATAGATATAACAGCAATACCATTTTCTTTTAATAAACAAACCCTCTCCCACTATCTCAATTGCTTTCTTATTGAATATCATAACCTATAGAAATAACAAGAATTATGGACACATAAACTTCATCAGCATTAGTATCATCAACAATAGATAGACCTAATTTGAAACACTATTGGAAAGCTTACATTTAGCTTATTCAGAGAGTTTAAGCATGAAAAAAGCTAATATTGTTTTTCTTAATGGTATTGATACCTACATAATCCAATTATCTATGTCAACCTCTTGGTTAAACCATTTCTCGTTGTACTTTGTGAATTGTGTTTTTGGTTTAGTGGCTTTAGAGTCATGATAGTAGAATACGTATTTGTTAGTAATAACAATTTGTATTCAATTATCCAAACATTTGTTCATCACAACATCTCGATTTAAACATCTTTCAACATAACTTTTTGACCTGGTTCAGGAATAGAGTAATAAACCCTCAGAGAGCATAAAACCTGCCCATTGTCTTCAAAAAAAAAGCACTATAATTCTTTTGTATATTTTCTTGGTTATTGTAGTACGACAGAAAAATATACATAAAACAGGTTAGTATTTTTCAATATAAGAAATTAATTATACTGCTCGAAACAGCCAAAGAGAGAATTCAAATAAAGAGGTTTTTTTTTAATAGACAAAACAGAGAAAAAAAATCTCATGGTATTATTATTATTGTTGTTTAGTGAAATATTAAGGGTTGGTCAATTGAGTACAATTTTTTTTTTTGTTCTTTCTTGTCAAGATTCTTACATAATTAACTTTGGAGAAAAAAGAAACTGGCATAATCTTGTCATCTAAGTGTAATTAGTGATTTGAATATAAATGAATGGTTATCTGTTATTTTAAAAATGCCAAAAAAAGAAGAAGCGATTAGCAGAAGAGGTCCGATATTCCGGCTCTAAAAAGTGTTGTAGAAATGGGGGGTTTTTTTTTTTAGAAAAAAACTAGTCCAGAGTCATTTGAATTTAGTTCATGATCAAGAAGAGACACAGCTTATTGTACTTGTGTGAGACGATAGGTAACGCTTTTATAGTAAAATCTTCTTTAAAATGTTCATTTGTATTAGTATTATTATTATTATGCCTTTAAAATAGAAGCCATCTTTTGACCAAAAAGACTAAAACAAAAAACCGGCTTTTGGGAATTGTAAAGCCGCATATATAATATTCGATATCCGACAATTAGTTTCATAAACCGAAATTTGGCACTGTTCAATGTATGTGTGCGAATGTACCTGTATATTTTATAGAAATAGCCTTATTACACACTCAGTATATACAGCTTTATTTTTGCACAAATATCTAACAATAGCCTCACTTTAATAGAAAACCTCTTGTGGATTATTAAATTAGTCTCTAAAGAATTGCAATTTGACCAAGGCAATTACTCTCACGCACGCACACACGCAAACTCACACACTCACGCACAAACACACCTCTGTATACATAAACATATCTGTACCTTCTTTAATAGACTGTAGATCATGCACATCAAACTGTTGTTAATATGCAATATCCGCACATTATGTGTATAGCTTGAGCACATATACAAATTATAAACACTCAACAAGCACTCAACAGAGCACCCTTGCCTTATCCACAATAATTAATCTTGCTTTACTTTTATAATATCACTTTTATTTATTAAACATCTATACTTAATTTTTTTTTATTTTTTTTTTACATTTTATAGTGTACACATTTATATAACATAAATCTCTTAATTTAAAATAGCGTTTGAATTCCTATATATATTTTAATAAAAAAAAAAAGAAAATTCTGTATAAAGCCCGAAGCTCTTTTTTCCCACCATCTTTCAAACTCACTTCTCTTTTCTGTTTTTTATTATTACTATTACCATGGAGACACATACCAACATACACAGTCTTGCTCCAGAGATTTTATTTCAAATATTCTCATTTATGCCTTATAATGAAGTGTATCGAGTGAGAAGTGTCTGCAAGCAATGGCAACATATGGCTACAGAACACATCTACCTTTCCATCAAAGCAACTCGCCAGACAGTGACTGTCAAGCTAGGAGAGCGTTCACACAAGAGAACTATTGATCTGGAGGCTCACTCCTACGACCCAATTCATCAGGTCATTGAATTCAAACCGGTTCAGGTCACCGAACACGCAGGCTCTCAAGGTCCTGATCAGACATCGCAATGGAGCATCTACCAACGGCGGATGCAGATCCACTTTAGTCAGTGGAAAGCACAAACCCGGCTTCCGGCTGCAGTCGAGGACTGTCTGACCGTACAAGAAAAGGACCTGGCCCTATTCCACTTGCTGTACAATCCTGCTCTCGAGCGTACCTATGAACTGCCTTCACCTGCCAGTCTTCTTCCTTCAAAACAGTCACCTGGCGATCTTCACTATGTCGGGGATAGGGGTCTGATCTTGGCCTTGTCCTACCAAACCAAGGCCTCCCCACACCACAATCTTTTTAACACAGCCTACTCTTCGCACGCAATCCATATGGGCGTGGGTGTTCCAGCCCCTCGACTAGAGATCCACTGGGTTCGAGCAACACTTGCCTGGGTGGTGTCTGGCATGGCACCACATACTCCTGTACCGCAAATATACACCGAAAGATACGCTTCTCTAGATTCCAAACTTGCACACAGTGGCTGTTACAAATACGATCTCTACTCAAACCCTGTTCTGGAACACATCGTACAAGGGAATGATCAGATTCCCCAGGATCTGCTCAAGTACCTTCAGTCCCACACACACGAATGTCACACCCGTCTTTCGCGTATACAACACATGCTTGAAGGTGCTGGTGTGGATGCACGTGTGATATGGAAGTATTCTTTTGCAAAAGCATGTGTTGTTAGCAATGGATCTCTCCTGGGCGAAGAAGATGTCGTACGTCGTATCCAGGTTCTCGAAGAAGAATGGCGGAAGAAGCGTCAAAGTCTTACTAGACGTCTAAATGCAACCATTTAACTTGATCTTTCATTCATTCATTCATTCATTCATACATACATTCATACAAACATATATCTATATATCTATACACCCACACCCACAATATTATTATTATTCATTATCATCCTTTAATTTTGCTTCATTCATATATATTGATATATATAAAAAAAATCATCGTAATGCATACCCCCCTTCCTCTTTACCAATACACTCTCAGCTCCCTCTTTCTTTCTACACAAAATAAACAACCAAAATTCAAGGCAATTCAAAGCAACAAAATAAATACTAGTCATATTTGCTTTCACAAATCAACTTGTTTTAATCACCTCTTTTTTTTTCTGTCTCTCTTATACATACATGCATACGTCTATACATAAAACACTCACACACACGCACTCACGCACGCACGCATATTATTATAGTAAAGTATTTAGATTTGTCTGTCGATATAAATTCTCTCCAATGAATTTCACCCCCACAAAGCACGCCAAAAACAAGGTTTACCGCGCACACCATACATAGATGTTTATTTGCTTTTTTATTTTATTTTATTTTATATATATAAAACAAAAAAGATACAATTCGGTCTGGCACCTCACTAAAGTCACCTATTCGGAGAACAAATGTATTGTATTGTATTTTTATATGTATACACACACACGTTATAAATGAACTCCTCCCATGTCTCATTTTATGTTCCAAATCCAAGATCCTTTACTTTTTTATATATGTAATCAATTTTATATTAAATACAAACCCCGAAAAAGATCTGATAAATATTACAAATGTACAATTTTTTTGATCTCTTTTTTTTTGCTTTTTATATTATTTTTGTTACTAATTTCTTATAGTATAAACAGTACGGTAATAAGATGATCCATAATTAATCCACTCAAAATTCTTATCAGATCTTCAAGGGGGTGAAGGCTGTTCAAATTGGACACTTATACACAAAATTATATTACTTTGCTTCAATTGTCTAAAAATATATGTTTACAATACATTTTACCGCATTATTTCCAATGCCCATCGAATAGATTATTATCATAGCTATTATTAAATCAAGCTTTTATATGTATTCTGAATAATACGCACACACACACACACACACAGAGAGAGAGAGAGAGATCAATACATGTATGTACACAAGATTATGTGCAATTATTTGTTGGATATTCAATAATCTTGAAAAGAACATGCAATAGATCCCGAGGATCAATTGACTTTGGGGGTTCTTTTTTTCTTTTATACTTATTTAGCCCAGCAGTGCGCTTTATAGACACAATTTAAATGACTGTCTTTTAGCCTTTTCTTTTTCTTTTTCCAAATCATATAATTGTTTTTACTTGGTTTAGATCAGATAACATTTAAATAGTAAAAGAAATCAAAATCAAAATCAAAAACCCCAAATATTTATTCCAAACACAGGCAAAACAGAAAATGAAAATAAGTGATTAAAATATAGCCAGCGCACATACACCGACCCACAGACAATATATGTACATATGCTGAATCAAAATCTGCCTTGACCTTCTTCTCATTGTTTTTACAATAAACTTAGATTACGATCAAACCAAACCAAACCAAACCAAACCAAACCAAACCAAACTAAACAAAATTACCTTTAGCTCGTCAAAGAATATTCAAAAGACTTGTTTATACTAAAAGTCATAACAAGGGTACACGAAATACTAACCTTTCTCTCATTTTTTTATCGATATTACTATTACTCCTTATTAAATATATAGAAAAAAAAGACCTATTTTTTTACCCCTTTACCATATATATATATATTAGATCTCAAGACAGATAACTCGTTTTTTAAATCTTTGAAAAATAGATGATACATAGCTTATATTTTATTGGCTATAGTAATAAAGTTTCTTTTTTTTTCTGGCCATTCTAAAGTAATATACATGCATATTTCTTTTTCAAAGCTTTTTCTTCAGCAAAAAATACTCACAGACTTGCCAAACAGTTACCCTATAAATAATAGTAATAAAAACCACTCTTTGGAGAACGAGGGACGATCTACTTTACCAATCTTCTCATTTGTTACATGTGGTACGGGAACAATATGAATGGCAGGCGCGGGTTTTAGTTTTTAGGAATCTCCCGAATTGGGTCTACTCCGGGCCAGACTTCCTTTACCCGGTCCAAACGTAGTAACATTATCCTACAAAAGCCGTTTGCACAACTAACCTGGAAAATCTTGTATACTCTATATTATAAAAGGTCTATATCACAAAATCGCTTCTTCCTCTTATTATTATCACTAATAGTATATGTATACATACAAAAAGCCAAGCAAAAATATCTATGAATCGGACAAGAGTATGGTATTGAGCAATTGGACAAGGTTAGGTGTAAAAAGCATTATGTATTTGATTTATTTTTAAATCAGTAAGATATATATATAAGGATTATACCATGGAAAGAAACTTGGCAATTCCTATTATAAGTTTGAAAAGTAATATATTGTACCTTTAAAAAATCTCCATCGGAATCATCAACCATTTCCAATAGTGTTGGTATTTGGTGCTTAAATGCGATAGATTTTTTGTTTTACGTTTTTGACATCCTCATATTAGTTTTATGTATTGTCCATAAAAATTAATATTTCTTGGTATTAATGTTATTCACTCATTAATCAATATAACTTTGAAGAAACGTATTAAGTATAATAACTAATTGGTAACTATAACTTCACTTGGTTTTAGATATGATGTTCGTTCTAATATAAAACTAAGGGTATAACCGAATAATTTGATTTTAAATAATTATTTATTTTATTTTATTTTATTTTTACTAGAAATTGAAAGACCCTTACCCTCTCTAACGATTTGGTTGAGACTAGCTTTGGTTTTCTTTTTTTTTTTTAAAAAAAAAAACCTTCCACTTTTTGTCTCCAAGGGACTTTATACAGTTTCATCATTAGGCCAAGACCTAGTAGCAAAAAAGAAAAAAAAGAAAAACTGAAGATAATAATTTTTTTTTGTCAAGACCTGCGCTTGAAGGTCGATCCACTCAAGTTTAAGCCCAAACTTCTCAACAACCCTCATTCCTGCCTACTCGACATGTCATCAAATTTACAATGACGGCAAAGTATCGGTGAAATGCTTTAATGCCAAACTGTTCAAGATAGATGTCTGAGACACCCAAGTGGAACAACATAGCATTTACTTAGACACCTTAACTTTGCTTCGGGTACCTCCCTCATGTTCAGTTCTGTTTACCAGAACGTGGGTTACAAGTGTCAAAGACTAAGCAGAGAGGAACTTGAAAAGCACAAAGATCATTTCAACAGGAAGCAGTAAAATATAGGCGATTGTGCTAGATTATACCCGCATTACCTCACGTCCAGGTGCTCAACGAATTTTTCTTAAAAAAAACTCTGTATTCAGGTGATACACCCTTATACTTTGACCTTTATGTGACAATCTTGACATGCCCTGAAGGACAAAATCTGAAGAGCCAGTATCCAACGTCCTAAGAAAATAGCATAAAGCTACCTCTGCGCTCCTCAGTCTCCTCCATGTTATGTGCCGCACAATACAGAAAAAACTGACATGGATTTCATCCGGCTTTCGCCTTCATATGACTGACTCAGGAAGATCTTTAACACTAGGTATGCTCTACACTAAGAGATACTTTCCCTGACGGTACTTGTGATCAGTTGGTTTTTTAAAAATATATTTAGTCTTCAATGAAACTTTTCACTGGGATTAGGGAGTTTGTAAAAACAACCCGACTCGTTGGAAGCTGCTTAACACAAAGACAAGAGCTCAAGACAAGGTGAGGGACTTTCACCCTCCGTTAATCTTTTCCAGGGAGTGAAGAATACTGACTTGTTGATATGTCTGGAAAAGCAGTTCACTAGTTCACAATCCAGAGCACTCAAAAGACTACACCGGTTCAAAACTTTGGAGCTTTTTCATCTCAAACAATAAAGTCCAAAACAGAATCCATTTTGATTTCTTCTCCTCTACAGTAAATGCAGGTAAGATTGTGCAAGATACAAACCACTTTTAGGACATAGTACCTTGAGAAAACTCAATTGCTAGACTAGCCAAAGAGTGCAGTGCGTTCAATTAAAAAGACAAGAATCTCATATTAAGACAAGTTTTATAAGTAAGGCGTCTACAGTGAGCGCATTGGAAATGAGCCCAAAGACTCATTATTAAAGACCATGATATACACATCTTGCATGAAAGTGTTTACATATATTCCTTTTGATATGTCGTGACTGACATGGATGTATATTCACATTTTCGGCTAGCCCAGGAATATCCTATATCTCTAAATCTTTTTGTATCAATTATGTAAACCAATTGGTTAAGTCATGACCTTGAGAAGAACATGATTGTTACAACTGGCACAGCAATCAATTGAAAATCATAAAGATTGTAACAATGAACCCCAACAATATCTATCTATTTCTATTCCTCTCTCTTTTATTTATTATTTATCATCCAAAGAAGCATAGCTTATCCCAACATTTTAGTAATAGCTTAGTAATAGCTTAATAATTATATTATTTTATTATGTATCGAAACATCTATAATTACATTGAAAGGTGAAAGCCATAAAGAACATTCTTATATATCACTACTATTTTCCTTTTATCTTTCTCAAGAGAACAAGTTGCCAATTGCCAATATTAGGGCTAAGGAGCTTTTAGAGGAGATCGATATATATTTCTTTTTTTTGTTAATTGTCTGGGCCACTTCTTTGCATAGACCAACACAACCCGCCTCAGTTTGATTGTATATTGCTCATACAATAGCTTTATTTCTTCTGGTATATTATTTTTAAGCAGTAATATATATTAATAGCAACAAATAATTTTGCTCTTTATTTAAAACATGAAATAATAAAAGAAATACAGGAGCTTTTTAAGTAAGACATTGCAGCATGGTAAAGACTAGTAATTTATTTTTTAATAAATTTTCTAACTATATCTATAGGAATATTAATTATATATATAACAGTGATACCATTGAGATTAAAGAAAATATATCTAATTGCTTGAACTAGTGATAGTAAGAGTATAAAATATAAGAAAATAGAGATTCAGTAAGAATTCTTATTCTAAATTCAAAGAAGAAGAAATAAGAGATGCTTGCAGAAGTATTGTGTTTTCTATGAGAGAAGGAACATGATAACTTCTAGTAAGCAAAAGATGATAAGACATATCTTTTTACGGCAGTATCTAGAAGCCAAAAAAGACAATTTACCAAAATTTGAAATTATTGTGAAGATGATCCTGCAGTATAGGCAAATGTGATTTAATACAAACTCTGTAAGATAATTGCTTGAGAGCATATTGATTTGATGACAGATCATAAATTAAAAATCAAAATGAAATAATAAAACAATAGTCGCACTGTTTTTTAAACGAACGCTATATACTAAATGTTTAATTGATGTGAAATAGTTGAGAGATTTGAAGTAATACATAGAATAATAGTGTCTTTATTTAATTAAATTATATTGAAGGATTTATATAATGTCAAATTCTTAGTTCACCGTTTTGTCAAAAAAAGTATATAGCAAAAGTGGATCCATCCCCCTCAGGACGAAGACCTGATTTGACGGCGAAGGGGAAAAAGGAGTTTGTTGCTCTCTCTCCAGGAAAGAGTGGTATGGAAAACAGAGGCAAGTTCAAGCAGCGCTGCACGTTAGCATACACCTTCCGAGCCAACGGATGTTTTCTAGATCAACGGTTTCCACACCGCATCGCACATAATCACAACCAACTCGTCTGGACACTTGCGCAGGAAGCTGCCAGTGAGATATGCCAATAAAGACAGTAAAACACAGTACAAGAGATCATTCGTGCATTCACTCTTGTAGGTCCAGAATAAAGAAAGCTAATCCGATCTGGGAACTAAACGCCCAGACAAGAGATTCAAAGTAGAGTAAGTATATATGTTATGGTTTTGACCGT